TATCTTTGGCCTATCCGTTGGCTAACATATTCGAACCCAAGCAGCGGAAGCAGCTAACTTCTTCGATGGGTTGACCGCTGATAAACAGTGGTTGTGCTGTGCCCAGATACGTAGTCAGGAGCTTTGTCTTGCGCACATTAATTGTCAGACCGACCGTTGCAGCGAAGCCTCGCTGGAGTATGACTGACCAATAACAAGAAATAAAGAAATTTGGCCGTTTCAGCTTGTCTCGTTTTTCTTTTGGTTTTAATACTTTTTGACCACACGGGTAAAACCAAACTAAGCTCTGGCATTTTGAAGCAGAGCCAGAAATTTTCATTTTCGTCCTTGTCAGTAATAGCATTTTGCCTTTATAACGAGCCACCGTGCGGCTGTCTGTGCTCGTGATCGGTGAGCGTCCTCTACTACAGAGCTGGTATGTTTGTAGGACAACAGCTCATGAGAGTTAACATCAATTTCGTTGCAAATACAAGCAAACATGCGAGTCCCAGGAAGTAATTGAGAAGAAGGCGACTCGATCACTGGGAAAAAACTTTTATTCACCTGACGCTTCGCTATCCGTCGCGGATTCATCGTCAGAGACATTATCAAAAAACGGCAGACCCGTTTCTACGACCGTTTTCCGCTAATGTCTCTGAGGATGAACCCGCGACGGATGTCGAAACGCCACGCGACTAAAAGTATTATCCCAGCGATCGAGTCGTCTTCTTCTGGATTTCTTTACAGTTGCACGTAAACTATCTTAGCAGTTCCAGCGGGGAGGGCGGTCCGATTAAATACTAGGCCGCTCCGGACCTACAGTAGACTCCCAAGACAGATGGCAACGCACTGCGAAGCTTAAAACCGTCAGCAACCAGGGACACTAAGTCGCACTAAGTGCGCTCGGAATTCATGACAAAAGGAAAGATGACGCCCATCACCAAAAACGGGATAAGAGAGTTAAAGGGTGTGAATACGGCAAAAGGGGTTGGCTGTTATTAAAATAAGTTAGGGTTGAGCAAGTCCACCTCGGTCGGGCTTATTGCTGTCCCTTCAAGGGCACGCGAACTAACGTCTATAGGGCTGCGAGGGTAGTTATGCGAGATGTCAAGCAGTTGACGAGATGAACCACCACTGTTAATGATAATAACCTGCAGGTTTTGTGTGTGTGAGAGAGAGAAACATGGTTATACAGCGACGATGGCGGTAGGATAAGCAATGAAATCAAAATAAGAGGGAAATGCAAACATACCGCGACGAAGAAGACAGATTGAAATTTCAAAGAGATCGAGTTAAAGGAAAGAACTAGGGGAGACGGATTATGCTACTTACATAGTGTTGAGATATCTGAATTATGATGCAAAATAGTACGATGCACAAACCCGATCATGGTTATTATCGGACGCTAGTGCATGTTACCTTGTCTTCATCATCAAAGAGCTATCCACTTGCTGAAAAACCAAACTAGTGATTACCTGGTAGATTCTGGATCAACTACTTAAAAAAAGCCTGCTTCGGCAGTCACCTTACCGCATGATAATGGGTGGATTCTATACATTGCAGTAGACTTCATGGAAAACTTAGTCCAAAGGGGAAAAAATACAAGGTTATCGATCGGGAATCCGTAGGTGATTGGTTAGAGTGCTGCTTCTACTAGAGCCTTGCTTTTGCTGTAATTATTTCAAACCGGGTCTAACCTTTTGCATTTGGATGGTTTGCAGTTTTAAGCATTCAGCCAGACTTAACAAGCATAAAATCGGAGTATGATAACATGTTATGTAAAACGAGATCCAAGTCTAAAACAGGTAGAAGATAAATTAATTTACCCATAATAATGAGAACCTGGCTAAATGCAACCTCCTTTCTTCACATCCAATTCAAGTCAAATGGGTTACCTCATTAAGCAAACTAGTTTTGCACGAGTTTTTTTTGGTATTACACATTAGTTAATTATGAATATCGTACAACAATCATAAGAAAAGAGCAAAATGGCAAAAAATTCAGAGTATATCAAAAGAAACGTCCGGTGGCTGGCAAGAAGAGTGTTTCCTTACCTTTAAATATAGGACAAACACTATAAGACTGCCCAAAAACAGGGCCTTAAGACAACCTCCGCCCCCCTAAGTGTAACGGTTCTAAAGTCAAATGTATTTACGTCGGCTATAAGGCCTTTTTGGTAGTAAAAGGGAGGACACTTACACGACTGGTGCCTCCTGGAAGATTGGCAAAAGTTGACACGGGCTGCGCATGCGTCATTGAAGCAGCCTTGGTCATCTGGAATCTAGGGCCGGAGTTCACGTGCATCACACCCTGTCCATTGGGGCCGGGCATTGGCCCACCAGGTAGCTGCATTGGAACACCACCATGATGTTGCATCTGTATCTGCCCATGGTGCTGTTGCGGCGGTTGCTGCATTTGTAGGTGTGAGACGTGCATTCCAGGATGCAGTGGACGACCGTCCGAACCCGAGGAAGCCATGCAGAACCTGGCAGAAGGCAACTGTTTTACTGTGGCTCGAAGAGGATAGTAAGACAGGGCAGCAACTTCGCATAATTAAAGGCTAGCTTCATTTTAACTTTGATGATATGACCATTATTCTAATAGCTACAGGCGTCACCCC